GGCTACGAAGGTATTATGCATTTTATTATTGAATTTCTACTGAAATTTTCACTAACATGGAAAACTTTTTTTTTTTTTTTGAGAAAGGAAATAGCACAGCTTTATTGGAGTCCTCATGTGGCGCTGTGGGCGAATGTGCTGGACGGCAAAGTTGGTTTGAACCACAAGGTCGGTGGTTTAAGCTCACCAACAGCTCCTTGGAAACTCTACACACGGTCAGGTCACTATGGGTCAGAACCGACTTGATAGCACCGAACAACAGCTTTATTAATGGCTAACTTTGCTTATCAATTCTCAAGAAAAATTACAATTGTGAGCAAAAGAAAAAATCATATTGTTCATCTCAATTTTATCTATTACCAATCATTCCTTTAGCTAATCCAGATACTGAGCCCACGTAAGTTACCAAACCCTCCTTCTGGCAGCAGAGGCCTTCTGGGAAATATGCATTTCAGTGTTTGGGCTTTAGAGTTATTTAAGATAGTCATGAGCTTTTGCAGTTAAAACATTAAGTAGGAACTGCTCATTATTAATGGTGTCCTAAATTATATTCCTCTAACTTTACTAAGTAACTCTGAAGCAGAAGGAGCGATCTGCTTCTTTTGCAATGAGAAAAACCTCTCTACTGCTTACTATGTTTGATTGCTCAATTTATAAAAAGAGATGTGGGTAGATAAAAAATAAAGCAATTCCTCACAAAACCTGGTGTCATCAATTTGGGTTTTTTTTTCATATCTTCTCTTCAATCAGAAATAGAGCATGGCTGGCCCATCACAGGAGCACAGGAATAAGACCGACAGACAATAAAAATCTACCCTAAGGACAGCGCCTGTGAAAAACAGCATGGCACGTCCTTGAACAGTTGAACACAGAACTACTATTGGGGCAGTTGTTAGGTATTGACAAGTAGGTTCTGACTCATACCGACGCCACTATACACAACAGAACAAAACACACTCAGTCGTGCACCATCCTCATGTTGTTAAGTGCTATGGAGTTGATTCACAAAGACCCTGTATAGGGTTTCCAAGGAGCAACTAGTGGATTTGACCCGCAGATCTTGCAGTTCAAACCATCATTGCAGTCGTGTGCTTATCCTGTAGTGCCACACTAGTTAGTATATCGAGCCCACTGTCACGCCACTGTGTCAACTCATCTCTTCGGGGCCGTCCTCTTTTTTATTTTGCTGACCCTTGACTTTACTGAGCTGACCCTTGACTTTACTGAGCTGACCCTTGACTTTACTGAGCATGATGCCCTGCCCTTGTCTAAAGAACGAGAGACCAAGCCGCGCCACCCTCACTCACTTCTAAGGAGCACTCTGGCCACACTTCTCCCAGGACAGAGTTGTTTGTTCTTCTGGTACTTAATGATATTTTCAGTATTCTTCTTCACCACCATAATTAAAACGCATGGATTTTCTATGATTTTCCTTATTCACTGCCCAATTTCCCCATGCATGAGGCAAAAGAAAATACCATGGCTTGGGAGTCAGGCACACCTTAGTCCTCAAGCTGACATCTTTGCTCTTCAACACTTTAAAAAGGTCTTTTGCAGCAGATTTGCCTAATGCAATACGTCATTTGGCTTTTGACTGTTGCTCCTGTGAGTGTTGGTGGCAGATTCAGAAAAATGAAGTCTTTCACAACTTCAATGTTTTCTCCATTGTTGTTATGTGCCGTCGAGTGGATTCCGACTCACAGTAACTCCACATAGGATTTCTGAGCTGATGTGCTTGAACCGCTGACCTTGAGGTTCAATCTGATTTTGCAGTCCACCTCATGAACCCACAGCACCACACTAGGACTCCTTTCTACATTAATCATGCTATTTACTAGTATGTTGTTGTTGTGTGCCGTGGAGTCGGTTTGGACTCAGCAACCCTGTACAGGGTTTCCAAGGCTATAAATCTTACAGGAGCAGAAAGCCTCATCTTTCTCCCACTGAACAGCTGGTAGTTTCGAACTGCTGACCTTAAGGTTCGCAGCCCTATTCGTAACCACTACGCTACCAGAGCTCCTTATTCACTGGTACAGTTGTAAGGAGTTTTGTTTTCTTTACACTGAGGTGAAATCCATATATTCAAGACTCATTAGTATTTTACTTCCTCTTTGCTTCCAGCAAGCAAGGGGGTCACCTGCACATTGCAGGTTGTTAGTCTTCCTCTAATCCCATACCCTGCTCTTCTTCTGATAATCCAGCTTCTAGATTATCTGCTCAGCATACAGATTGAATATGTATGGTGAAAGAATACAACCCTGGCACACATCTTTCCTTTTTCTATTAAATAAAAACCAACAAAAACCCTTTAAACCATTCAGTATCCCCTTGTTATATAATATTGCTGTTGTTGTTACTAAGTGCTGTCTGGTTGGTTCTGACTCATAGTGACCCTGTATACCTTTCAAGGAGCAGTTGGTTCGTGGGTCTGAACAGCCAACCTTTCGGTTAGCAGTCCAGTGCTCATCTTTACAGCGCAACACCAGGTATACTACCAACAAGCTTAACCTGAATGACTCAAGGTACACTTCCTAGAAGTGTAGAACAATTGTACTAGCAAAGAGTCAAAGGCAGGTAAGGTAAATAAATGAGTTCGGTAAGAGCATGCATCAGCAAGAAGAAAGAAGAAAAGGAATAGACAAAAACCTAGAGGCTTTTTATTGTCCGCCATTATACTGGCAATAAGAATGTGACCTTGACCTGCAGGTAATAGAGACTGAACTGTGAGAAGGTTCTAGAAGCAGTGAGCCTTCGATTTCTTTTTCTGTAGAATGTATAGATTGGACTAGAGTGTTTCTCATCTTTTTGACAAACACCACACCCCTATTCTAATAAATCCTTTAGGGAAATGTCCCAGCCAGGAATCACTGACCTCTGAAACTCTTTTACCTAAAATGAGTCTGTCCAGACTTAGGATTTTGTACTTCTTGCATGTTTTTAAAAAGCTTGGTTTCTTTGAAACACCAAAATGTAATAGTCAATATGCTCATTCAAACATCTCCCAGTCAACCCAAACCCTATTTCCACCCTCTATGAGGATTCATGGACCAAATGACTTTTCAGGAGAAAAACTCTTGAATTTCAAGAATTACCTAATCCCAGAGAGGAGAAAATGTTTTAGTATTGTTAAAAGCAGAACTCCTCAATACTATTAGGTAGAATTCATCACTTGATGATTTTCCAGCAGTCCAGAGTGCTCAATAACACTATTTTACAGTCAAGCCATCTGCTTGTTGGCATCTTCCTAATGCCCTTAAAAGAGAGCACTGAAAAGCTATACAGCTTTATCTGATTTCAAATCCATTCCTTTCCTTCATAAGAGGATTGTGGCTGGAGAAATAGTTGTCTTCCTGTGTGGTAACTGAGAAATTTACTTCCCACTTACCAAGGAAGGGTAATCATTTTTCCCCAAACCATGACTATACAGAATTTAGTTGAGAAATATGCAGTCATTCACCCTGGCACTTTTAAAAACTTCAACGTCAACCCTAATACCAGTGTTTGTTGTTGTTAAGTGCTTACAGACTTACATCTTTTTTTAAAAAAAATCTCCGAGTCTGGTGAAAAGGGATGGGGATGAGATTCTTATGATTCAGTAGTGAGTAATTATTATCATGACTAATTGCGATTGTCACAACTGTAAAGGTAGAAGTTTTGTTAGCAGTCCAAAAACAGAGGACCCTAAGACCATCAAGGGAGAAGAGCATGAGGGGAATGTGGGACCCTTTCCAGAGAAGCAACAACCCCAGAGATGGAGGCAGGGATGAGGTCATGGAGAGAGGGAGCAGCTGAGGACTCCAGACTCATAGAAAGAGAAGGACTGAGAGATGGTGACCAGGAGGCAAGCTTGCAGAATGTGCCCTTTGGAAGTATAAATTATTATCTAAGCCTGAGTGTTTTTGTATACATTCACCCCGCCCCCCCCCCAAAAAAAAACCACCCACAGTGGAAATAGAAGCAAATACTGTTGAATGACGATGCACGGAGGAGATTGTAATCATTGCAATGAAATGATGACTGTGAAACCGATGTTTCTCTCCATGTAAACTAAGTTCACAACAAAAACTTAAAAAAAATGAAAAAATAAAATAAACCCCCAAATCTCCCAGGAAGCGGAAAGCCTCATCTTTCTCCTGCGGAGTGACTGGCGGGCTCGAACCTCCGACCCTGTGGTTCGTAGTCCAGTGCTAGTCGTTTGGCTTCTCCGCGCTCCCTAACCCGTGTTCACAAACGGCATTATAATGCCCGGATGGCTGTCACTGGGGTGATTAACAATACGTGTGTCTGTCTTTGGCTTCCGGTCTGAATCAATATTTAGGGATTCTCCCAGCATCCGGCACCCTCCGCCTGTTACCAGGCCTTCCTCTTCCCCTGCTTTTCCTTCCACTCTTACTTTCCAAGGCCACTTCCCTTTCCCACTCTATTTTCCAATTTACACTTGCCAGGAAAAAGCCAGGGCTCGAGAGAGAGAGAGCCCAGTGCCCAGAGAGCTGCCACAGGCCCGGCCTCTTCCATCACCTGTGCCGCGGGACTGGCTCCAGATCACGTGTCACAGCGCTGATAAAACACAGCCGACGACGCGGGGACCGGTCACCAGGACGATGACGCAACTGTGGGAAGACGAGACACCGCCACCCCGGCGCGCCCGCTCAGGGTCTCGCGAGAGAGCCTCCAGTTTCGCTCCGCCCCGACCCCCTCGGGGGCTCACGTGACAGCGTGGGGGCTGGTTGCGCGACGGTGGTCACATGATAGGCAAAGCCGTCGACCGGGGTCTGCTTCCTGGCCTGCAAGAGCCAAAAGCCGGGGGTTCGTCGAGTTCGCTGGGACGCGTGTGTTCCTGTCACACCCCGGCCCTCGGCCTCCTGGCGTATTTGCCTAATCCCCGCCTCCTGAATTTAGGCAGATAGCAGGGAGTGCCGGTCGCTAACCGCCAACCGCCTCGAGACCCTCCCTCGCTTTTCACCTCTCTCACGCACCGGCCTCCCCGGCCCCTCGCGCCCATGGCTGCCCCCAGCGATGCTCGAAGGTGGCAGCTGCTTTTGCTGCTGCTCGGTAAGACGGGGAAAGGGAGCGGGCTCTGCGGATCGCCGCCGCCCGGACTCGGAGGAGTCGCGGCCTAAGGGAAGGAGCGGGAGGTCAAGGAGGTGCGCGGGGTTCCCGGGGCGGCTTGGCCTCCGGGAGCCTCCGGAGTCGTTCTCTAGAATGGACGTGTTCGTTGCTTTGGATGAAGTCCGGCGCTGGCCGACTTCTGCACATCAAGGGCGGCGGCTCCTCTTGGGCGGGGGCAGGGCTTGCATTTTAGGGGTGTGGGGTTTGGAGGTAGACTGGTGGTTTGGGAGTTGGGAGTCCAGGTGCCTAAAAGTAGAGGAAGGGGTGTGTCTCCATTGCTGGAAATTTTAGATGAAAGCATAGTTCCTCTCGTCTTTAGTGTTCGCACCTAGCCACGGAATTTTGTTTCCGGGATTTTAAGTTCGAAACGAAACTTCTAAGTGGTTCTGTGGTTTGGTAATTTCTCAATAGCCGTGGTTGTTAGTTTAATTTACTGGCAAGTTTAGCGGGGGAGACTTACGTGAGGTTAGGCAGCCCAAGATGGCAGGAATTTAGCTTTGTGTCTTGTCTCAGTCAGATTGACCTAAATCGCGATTTTCCAACATGGATTTTACCTAGAAGTGATTTCCAGCCTTTCAGAATTGGTACTTGATCATTTAACCTTTCAGTACGGTTTAGATGATTTTATTAGAAAGATTTAAATTCGTCATTTAAAAAATTTAGAAGCGTTCCTGGAAGACAAAATAAGAGGTAAAACTAAGCGTCGGACTCACAATGCCAGTGTTTATTTTTAATAAACAGATTTAAGGAGCATTGCTCTAGTCTCACAGTAATGTGTATTGCTTCCAATGAGTCGGAACCAGAGAATCCATGAACACATTGGGATCCATTTGGACGCGTCACTCACTAATCTGTAGAATTTATAATAGTAGTATGTGCTCAGTAAATATTTTGGTTTGGGGAATTTTATAATTATTTTCTGTCCAATTCATAAAGAGAGCAGTATCCATAGTTTTAAGTCTGTTCAGAGTCTTGGGGTGAACCTCTCATTATGGCATTCTCTCTCACTCTCAATAATATAGGATGTGTTTTCTTAAGTACCAGGATCTGAAAGATGATACAGAAGACAAGTAAACAATTTCACATGTGTGATGAAACCCTTATAAAATTGTTCAGTACAGATTAGTAAGTAACTACAGTAAGACTGTGCTTACTTGGCTTACTGGATTCTCTGTCCGTGTCAGGGACTGTACATTTGAAGAGCTCCTTTCATTCTGTAGGAAGGTGCTGTGGACTTGGGAGAGAGACAAGATTGCCAGCCATACCTAGAAACAAAATCTTTGATGTGGTGAAAAAATGTGAAATTGTTCACTACAGATTAGCAAGTAAACCTTTGCCTACCTTATTAATTGGGTAATCTGACACTGCCCCACTGGCACCATATGGTCCCAGTGTCCTCATGCCTCATTGGGGTGTTCTGGCTGAGCCCAGCAGAAATGGGCAGAGTGCCTGGTAATTGTAGGTTCCGCAGTTCATGCCCTGTTGTTAGTTGATCCTGTTAATCAAAAGCAGTCTTTTAGAACTCAGCTGCTAATATAAGTTGGACTTCTACTCTTTTTGGTTGATTATTATGGCGTGAATAGTGTCAGTGGATTGTATATAGTATAAATTTCCTTTTTCAACATCATTAAGATTTGCTACCTAGTACTGGACCTTTGTACTACACAGTTTGAGAACAATAATTAACCTCAAAGAGTGTGTGTCTGTGTGGCCTTTGTTTTGAAGAAGTTCTTCATTAATCTATCCCAAAGATACTCGCGATTCACTGGGTTACCTGAGAGGTGAGATAGAAAGTCGAATAATTCAAGTAAAATGTAAGTCAGTTGTGTTTAGTTCTATCTGGGTGAACGTCATTTAAAATAAATTTAATAACAACGCAAGAAACTAATGCAAACATTGTGTTCCTAATTTTTGTCTTTTTCTTGCTCTCTCGCCCTCTTTTTTTTTTTTCCCCTTTGGTTTTAAGCAAGAAGACACCATTTAATGAAAACAATTGTTTGCCATTTAAACAAAATCAGAGTTTATACTTTTAAACTTTTTATTTTTTTTTTTACAGTATGTAAAATTTTAGCAAGACAACTTCTTTTTTCTTGTTGTTGAGTATTTTACTTCTGCGATGTGTGCGTTGCCAGCATCAGGAATGAATATGATTTGTGTGAGGAGAAAAATGTTCTTTTTTCACTTTAAAAAAAAAAATTACTAAAAGAAGTATAATAATTTTATACATTCTTGATACTTTCTCTAAGTTCCCTGATAGGTTTTCATTAGACTATGTCTAGTTAATATCTTGAAATGCTGAAATATATTTAATTGCAATTGTTTGTGAAGAAATGGATGACACCATTTCTACCTAGTAAGACATTAGTAAATTAGTCCTGGCCTATTAGTAAAGTGTCTTTCTTTGATATATGAAACTATTTATAAAATTAGCTTGTAACTCCAATTGCATTATACCTTTTAAGTGTTACATTCAACTAAAAAACTAACATTTAAAAAGAGTCTTACAAACTTGGATTTAAGTCCATTTAAAATAATGTTTATTTAGTGAATAATTTTGCCCCAAAGCATCTCTTTCTTTCTTTCTTTTCAATTTCAAACTTGTAAAATACTAACGTCTCCTACATTATTGTTGAGTGCTGTTGAGGCATTCCAACTCTGTGACCCTGTATAGGATTTCCGAGAGCTGCTAGTGAGCTAGTGAGCTGGAATCACCAACCTTGCAATTCAAAGCCACCGTGCAGTCCAGCGCATTAACCCACAGCACCATACCAGGTCGTCTGTATTAATAATTAAGAATTACTTGAATTTTGTTTTGTGTTAAATGCTTGATAAAAAACACAGACAAATATGAATGGAATCATTCTGTTTTCTGATACACAAGATTGTGTATTTGCATAATGGGGCACTTTAAGTCATTGATGTTAACTAGATTATTGTACCGCACCCTCTTCCAGAAAGAAGATTAGTCACTTAGGAACTTAGGAAAGTTTTTTTGCTAATTAATGATAACCCGTTAATTGTTGGGGATTGTCCATCATTTAGGTTGAAGACCGAATTCTTCATTAGATTTGAAATCAAAATGTTTTGTGCCTTATAATTATGAATGTAGGCAGAGTAACAACATAGAATATGCACTGGACTGTGAACCATAAGGTCAGTGATTCAAGCCTACCAGCCACTCCACCGGAGAAAGATGAGGCCTTCTACTCCTGCAAAGATTTATAGCATCCGTCATAAACCTTATACAGGGTTTCTATGAGTTGGAACCGACTGGATGGCACTTGGTGGTGTAACATTAATTAGTGTAAACAACTATATGTGCATATAGTGTTGTTAAATTGCCAGGTTTCCAAGGAGAGACTGGTGGATTTGAACTGCCAACCTTGTGGTTAGCAGTCTAGGGTTTATCTTACAACTCCACACCAGGACTCCACACAACACTCTCTGTTTCTGTTTCTCTCTGCCTCCCTGCCTCTCTCTCTCTCTCTCTCTCTCTCTCTCTCTCTCTCTCTCTC